TTGTTCACAAATGTCTTTTTATTTGTGGTTAGTGGAAGAGTTTGGGGCCTGGCACACCTGGACCTGAATCCTGGCTCTATCTTGGTAACCCTGGACAGTGGAGCATTGTTCTTTCAGTGTCTTCATCTGTAAAAATGAGGGTTAAAGTGAAAATTAGTTACCTTGCTTTGTGGTGGTTGTTATGTCAACTAGTGTTCTTTTGGTTGTAAACAACAGACACCCAAAGAAGTTAAATAGTAAGGAGTGTTTTATCTCCCCAGGCAAGAAGTCTGGCGGTAGAAGGGTCTAGAGTTGGTTGATTTAGCAGCTTAGGGATTCAGAGTTTTTTCCTCTTTTCTCTCAGCCATCTTCAGCAGGTGGGAGTTTTGTCCCCTTATTGTCACAAAGTGGCTGCAGCAGCTCCAGACACTACAGGCAGACCCCATGAAATTCACCAAAGCAGGGTGGTATTTTTTTCCCGTGCATCCCTTTTTATCAGTGAGGAGGTTCTTTCCCAGGAGTCCCCTTGCAAATTCTTAGGTCCTCTTGCTCCTGTGTTTTAATCTGGGTCCTTTCTGTCCCTTGGGTGCTGAGACAGGTGCTGACACATTATCTGGGAACTCAGGCCCAGGGAGGTGAGGATGAGGAAAAAAAGGGGGACAGCGAGGCCAGGAAAGATGTGAAGCCATGTGATACCGTGTGTTTTCTCACTGGCTACCGCTTTAGGATGAGCCTTGAAGGGACCCAGGCTGGTGTGTTCACATGGCACATAGGGACTTTGAAAGGGTTACAAGGACAAACCCTACTCAGGTCTGTCAAGAAGCACTCTTACCCTGCTTGCTGGAGTTTTTAGAGGGTACAGAGAAGAAAGGAGCATGCCGATAATATCTTTTTAAATTAAATTTTAAATCTTTCCTAAATCCTAGTACATTTCTCTCCACTTGCTTTATATCAGGGGGTAGGTAGCATAGCTAGTGGTTAAGCACATGGACTCTGTAGTTTGAGTACCTGGGTTCAAATCCAGGCCCTGCAGCTGACCAGCTCATCAGTGACCTGTGCCCACCTTTTAGGGTTGTTTGGAGGATTAAGTGAGTTACTACTTCAAAGCACTTAGAACTGTGCCCAGTAGAGTCAGCATTCTGTGTGTATTTGATTAAATTCTTTGAGAATGTAGACTCAAAGATGTGATGTTAATAATTTGGAAACTTGCCTTTTTCTCCACGATGTGATCCATGCACTTTTGTCTCTAGAACTCAGAGCTCTTTGACATGTCCTGTGTGTAATGATCATCAGCCTATTGATGTTTATCAAGTCTATGAGTGTAAGGGACACAGATCAGAATGCACAGGCACTCTTTGCCTTCAGGTATGCCCTCTTCTGGCTTCTCTTAGCGAATGGTACCCACCCCAGGGATACTGTTCAGCTGTCCTCCTGTGGTTTGGTGCACCTGCCATCCTCCTTCCCATTGACACAGAGGCTGGCTGCTTTAGCTCTAGTGCTTTAGCAGAGTGCTGGCTCACACAGTGCTTGAGAACTGCTTGTCAAGTTGAGTGTCAGTGCTTTCTACCTTGAATTACTTATTTATAGGCAAGTCTTATTTCCCTTACTTTCCAGTAAACAGCTTGTGGGCAGGATCTAGATCTTTAGTGTTTTTAGGTGATACATTGATGGATGAATGAGTGAAAGGATTCCAGTTGAGCAGACAACACATAGATGCACATGCAAAGGGATAATACCATTGGAAGGGGCCAGGACATGCCATCCTAGTCTCAAGGTTTGTAGTTTAATATCTTCCAGTTACTGGGCATAAAATGTTTGCTGTCCTAGCCACTGACTCCTCTTTTTTTCTCCCTCCCTCCTGTGATCTGTGGTAGACTGTGTGGATTGATGAATAGCATACATTGATGGGCAGGGGCTGGAGGCAGGAAGATGAGCCAAAACAGTGTAGGCCTGAGATGCTGGGGCTTGAAGGTGGAGTGGGGTGGTGCGAGTGGAAAGGGAGTGGGGGGACCTTGGGGCAAGACTTTCCCCCTCTTTGAGTTCATTCTTTTATTTCAGTGGCATTTATTGAGTGCCTACTGTGTGCACCGTTCTAGGCACAGGGCACAGACAAGGTCTCTATCTCATGGAGCACACACTGTGGTTGCAGGAGACAGTGACGTGATAGACAGGGAGGGGCTTTGGTTTCCGTGGCTGCTTAGAGAAGGACTTGCTGAAGAGGGGGCATTTCTGGCTGTGCCATGGAAGGTCTGGGGCAGAGTGCTTTTGGAGGAGGAAATCAATATGTAAGGGCTCTAAGGGGGCAGAATGTGAGGGGACAGTGAGACCAGAGGGGTTTGGAGGACTGTGGTTAAAAGTCTGAATTTTATTCTAAGTGTGATGGGAAGTTGGAGGACATTATTTTTCCACCAGGGTCCTTTTTGATAATTTTTCTTCTTCATGAGGACCATACTTAGAAAACTCCTGTTCACCAAAAGGTGTGTTGATGAAACAGTAGAACGTACAACCCTGAATTACTTTAGGCTTTTAAAGTGTGGGGAAATAATTTATGAATCACAATGATTATCCCACAGGACCCCGCCCTCCCCCCAGGGACCTGAAGGTTGCAGATTGGACACTATCTACTAAATCTGAAGGCCTCTTCTGTTTGAAACATTCTTCCCAAAGCCGCTTGCCATGTGATTGTTAAAAATAAATTACTGCCACCTATTGATAGAAAGAAGAAGATGAATTTTTGTGTAATGAAAATCCCAAACCCAGCAGATTTCTTCTGCTGCACATCTGGCTTTACACCCTGCAGTGATGACCTGGAAATAGCTCTGGGGCAGGGGGTGTGCTGGTCCTGGTTTCCTTTTTCTGTGGCCCCGACAGACTTGACTCTGCTTCTTGTGTGCTCTGTCTCAACTCATCATGCAGTGATGGGAGGGAGCTGCTCCAGGGTTGGATGATTCTCTGGGGAGAGACACCGTGCAGATACTGTGCAGCCAGCAGCGGGTCGGCCTCCATATAAACTGAATTAATCCTTTGTCTGTAATTGACTAATGGTTTCACTGAGTCCCTGTATTTATTGTCTCAAGACACCCTAAGCCTGGCCAACAGGCCTTTGCTTAATGTACTTCTTAACACACCACCCCCATCATTAAATCCTCAACTGCTGTATTTCTGATTTGCATTTTCCATGGCTGAATGAATGTGCTGACTTCCGTTTTCTTTTTCTGTTACAGATCGTGTGCGCAGGTGACTGTGAGTACCAGCTTCCTCTCTTCTTGTGTTGTTGGCTACTGCCCCCTAATGGACACAGAGCAACTCTAACAGCGCTGTGAAAATCACAGAAAATGCGAATTTGTTAAAACTGCTTAGATTCCAGTTTTTCTTTAGAAGTGGGGTGAGGCTGGGAACAGCAGATGAAAGACAAAATTCAGTTAATTGTGCAACCCTGACAAATAAAAACCAAATATTTTCTGTAATTTTTTTCCAACCTGTACCCATGGATGATTTAACTTAGCTGTAATACAGTATTTTTATATATTTTGTGTGCTGTTATCTCATAAGTATTTTTATTGTGTTGCTACATTGTCCTTGTGCTGCTATGTTGCTACATTTAAAAGTGGCATACCTCCTTTGTATAACCTTTGGAAAAACAGACATAGCCTCCTTCTGTCTATTTTGCTTCCACGTGGAGGGCTGAGTTCCTTTTGCTGATTAGTGCCGGTCCAACCCCTGGTCTACAGAAAAAAGAGAAAAATAAGGATATGATAGTAAGTTTTCAATGAAGCTAAATATATTCAGTCGAAAGCACCATCCATTCTGGGAGTATGTCCTTACTAATTTTTGGGGTCATAAAACGTTTTTTTTTTTTTTTCCTTTTTGTCCTTTTTGTCTTTTTTCGTGACCGGCAACGGATCGCAACCCTCAGTGTCGCGCC